CTTTGATACAATGACCCTTCGTGAACCCACCTGGCTCATGGACACCAGCGCCACTCATCACATTGCTTCGGACCCATGTATTATTTCTCATGTTTATTCACAAAGCTTAAATTCTCCATATTTTATCACTGTTGGTAATGGATCAAAAGTAAGCAATACGGCCATCGGTAAACACACCTTCCCCACCTCCCCACCCCTTTCCCTTAACAATGTCCTTGTTTCCCCCCATATCATTCATAATCTTATTTCCGTTCGTCAGTTCACTCGTGACAATAACTGTACTGTAGAATTTGACTCTCACGGTTTTTCTGTGAAGGATTCTCGGACGGGAACCGTGATTCAACGTTGCAATAATGAAGGCCCTCTCTATCCTCTGCGCACCCACGCCTCCACCGCTCAAGCTCACGTTGCTTTTGTTTCGGCCCAAACATGGCATCAACGTCTTGGTCATCCCAGTCCTGCAGTTTTAGATAGTGTTCCCTATTTATCTTCGTTTTCCTTTAATAAACAACTTCAGCATAATTTATGTCACGCTTGTCAATTAGGGAAGCATGTTCGTCTTCCTTTTACTTCTTCTGCTAGACTTTCTTATTTCCCCTTTCAATTAATGCACACTGATTTATGGCAATCACCTGTTTCTAGTATAACTGGTTTTAAATTTTATATGCTTCTTTTAGATGATTATTCTCACTACTTATGGGTTTTTCCTCTTCGACATAAATCTGATGCTTTTTCTCACTTAACTAATTTTGTTGCTTATATAAAGAACCAATTTAACACAACCATCAAATCTGTACAATGTGACAACGGAGTTGAATACCGAAACTTGCCCCTCCAAAATATGTTTAACTCTCTAGGAATTATCTTCCGCTTCTCTTGTCCTCACACTAGCCAACAAAACGGCTGGGCAGAACGCACAATACGCACCGTTAACAACATCTTCCGCACTCTGCTATTCCAAGCCCAACTTCCTCCTGAATACTGGGTTGAAGCTCTCCACATGGCATGTCATCTCTTCAATCTTCTCCCCACCACCACACTCCAACAACGCACTCCTCATGAAGTCCTCTTCCACACACCACCTACTTACTCCCACCTACGTGTCTTTCGCTGCCTGTGCTATCCCAACACCTCTGCAACCGCCCCTCACAAACTCTCCCCACGTTCGGCTCGGTGTATTTTTCTTGGTTACCCATCCAATCAACGGGGTTTCCGATGTCTTGACCTCACCACTAACAAAATAATTATCTTTCGCCATGTCGTCTTTGATGAATCCACCTTTCCCTTCAACCATTCCCCCTCCCCCGTCCGAACTCCGATTTCTAGACACTCCCGACGACGTCACCCCATTTCATCTCCATCCTCACATCCCCCACACGGCCCAGCCCTTACACCCCACTATTCCCACGGCCCAGCCCACCCACCCTCTATCATCCCA